CCCCCCCCCCCCCCCCCCCCCCCCCCCCCCCCCCCCGCCAACATCGGAGAGGTAGCTGAGGCGGGTGCACACCGGCCCTGCTCGTGGTTTCTGGCCAGGGCTTTGCTCTGATGAGAAGCAGGCTTCATTCAGCCCCTCTGCCTACAGAGGAAATCTCAAGCTCCCCTTTGGGAAGAAGGAAATGACTGTGAGCTGAGCATCAGGAAATGGATGATGCTGTTATCTTCTTCCTGTTCTGGGGGCTTTATATTCCAGGGGTGGACGGGAGTCCGACCGCAAGCCAATATGTGGGACCGCGTGGCCAGGCCAGCTCTGGTTTTCATCCTTCAATTAGGGAAGGGGGCTTCCTGTCATTTGTTGCACATCTGAGCCCCACGGAGAACCACTTTAGAGATGGGGGGTGGGGGGAGCAAACCACAGCTTCACTCACTTGCTTTTCCTTCAATTCTCTGGACACCCAATGCTCTAAAAGAGGCAAATTGGGCTGCGTACACTGGTTGCTGATATTTCATGCTATGAGGACCCGTGTTCATGTCTGGAAAGGAACCCAGCACCTTGGTTGGGAGGAAAGTAGATTCAGGCCCTTCAGATGGGAAAGACTGTGCCTTTAGGAAGCCAGAGTCAAGGAATACGTAAGACCTTTCTGCTTTGGTGACCTGTCCACAGAAGGCTGTCCTGTGAGGTTTTCTCAGGAAGAATTCCAAGCCTACCTTTAGCCTAGTTTGTGTATTTTTACCAAGATTCCTGGACCTTAATCATGTTAAATAAGCCCCAGGAGTTGTTTTCTTTTTTTTTTTAATTGCTTCAGGGCAACTGGTTTGTTCTCCAAAGAAAAAGAATGTGCCTGGTGGGGAAGGGACCATGGGGAAGGGACTGGAATGAGGGCAGGGTGGGAGGCTGGAAAGCACTCCGGGTTTTTGAGGAATGAAATGTAGTTGAGTGTTTAGGGAGATTTTATGATCGATCATTCCCTCCGGAAAGAGGCTCCCGGACAGAAGAAGGTAGTAGACCTGTCTTCCCAGCTCAGCTCTGTAGCTGAGTGGAGCTCACGAAAGGATAAACGTGCTAACATATTGGAGATCCTTTGTGTTCCCCTGATTTTGATTCTGTAAGCTCGCAATGGTAAGAGAGAAGGGAAGTGATTACCTGTTCGTAGGTCACGTGTGAAGGTCATTTTTCAGTACAATTCAACGTCCCATGGAAACACCACAGAAGTGAGGGGCGCTGGGGCGGCTCAGTTGGTTAAATGGCCTACTTCAGCTCAGGTCATGATCTCACAGTCTGTGGGTTCAAGCCCTGTGTCAGGCTCCGTGCTGACGGCTGAGAGCCTGGAGCTGCTTTGGATTCTGGGTCTCCCTTTCTCTCTGCCTCTCCCCTGCTCACGCTCTGTCTCTCTCTTTCTCTCAAAAATGAACAAACATTAAAACAAAATTTATTTTAAACTGCAAAAGTGGAAAAGGTCTATGTGTTCAAGGTCTACGCTGAAACATTTTGGCGACCACAGTGGTGGTTTCACACAGTCCACACCGTGAAGCCTGGGTCCTCCTGCGGAAAGGAGGAATTCTCAGGTGTCATTCTGTCACACAGAGGTGGCCTGTGTAAAGGTGGGTAGGCGTAGGCAGGTCCTGCTTGGGTCCTGAGCTGCTGTCCCTCAGGACCTGCGCCCTCTTGAGGCCCTGTGAGTCCCGTGCAGATGTGTGGCAGTGACCCAGAAGCGGAAACCCTTGCACGCGTTTGCGGCCCCTCGCTTCCCAGTGCTCCGAAACCTCTCAAGTAGCCGATTATGTTTGTTCTTAGATACTCACTGCCTTTTGTCTAACTCGGAGGCAGTGCCTTTCAGAGCTCCTTTCTAGAAGGAATGAAAAACACATTTATATAGGGATTTGTCCAACTTCACGGATTTTGTTTTGTTTTTTTTTGATTGAATAGTTGCTGAGTTTCAGAGCGCTGGTCATCTGTCTGCATTGGTTTTTACTATCCATATGATACTTCTAGGTTTTCAAAGCTCTTTGCCCTTGTTTATCAATTATTCATTTTACACGTGGCTATGGGAGAATGTAGACAATTTTCTTTATGAGAGTAAGCCTATAATTGGATGTACATAAAAGTAGAAGGTATTAGATGGTTTTTAAAAAGCATTTAGTATTACTGCCATCATAATACATGGAAAGATGGGCTTTAAGTCTAAATAATGATGAGTGGCTATAAACTGTATGCTCAGTCTTGTCTTTTCCAAGGAGTTTCAGGCCTCAGAGAAATAGTGTTTGGATAACCTTGGATGTCATAGAAACATTTGGGGATAATTGACCAAAATGCAAGTTCTGTTTTTACTTCCGTTGTAAGACTTAAATTCATTTAAAACTTAAGTGATAAGGTCTGGAATTGGTAGGCGGAACCCTTTCTTTACTCACTGCTATTAATGGTGGCTGGCCTGCTATCTGAGAAAGAGAGATTATGTGCTAATCCCTGTAAAGAAACTTTAGAGACCATCTAGAGCTCTAGACCAATGATTTCCTAATTCTTTTGAATACATGAGGATCCTCTTTTAAATGGCAACAGAACTTTCAGGACCCGTATATAATGCTACTTAAACTATCCCTGTCTTTCTTTGTTACTGAGGTGTATTTGACATGTAACGTTGTATTAGATTTCAGCCCCATGATATAATGATTTGTTAATTGTATGCACAGCTAAAAGATTTCCACAGTAAGTCCAGCTAACATCCATCACCTTACACCATTACAAAAAATTTGTGTGTGTGATGAGAACTTTTAAGATCTGCTTTCTACCAGCCTTCAAATAAGAAACACACTGTTAACTGTAGTCACCATGCTCTACATTACATTCTCCGGGGCTTACTTATTTTATAACTGAAAGTTTGTACTTTTTGACACCCCCCCGCCCACCACCTGTTCCCCCCTCACCCCCCACCTGTTTCGTCCACTCCTACCTCTGAAAACCACCAATCTGTTCTCTGCATCGGTGAGTTTTGTTTTTTTTTTTTTTTAAGATTCCACACATAAGTGAGATCATTAGCATTTTTTGGTTGTGGTTTTGGTTTTAGTTTTTAAAGTTTGTTTATTTAGAGAGAGAGAGTGTGCGCATGCATGAGCAGGAGAGGAGCAGAGAGACAGAATCCCAAGCAGGCTCTGAGCTGTCGGCACAGAGCCCGACTCAGGCCTCGAACTCACGAAGTGTGAAATCATGGCATGAGCAGAGATTAAAAATCGGATGCCCAACAGACTGAGCCCCCCGGGTGTCCCTCATACACATCCTTTGAGTAACAAAATCCATGGGTAACAAAAGCTGCTTGATACCAGTAACACTTTGCATGACTGTGAACTTAATAAAAGGCCTTTGTATTTGGAAAACGTATATGCGAGAGCTCTGTGCGATGTTTCTGCTGTCTGTGGACCATGCTCAGACCCCTTGCAGAAGGGTGGTGTCTCGGCCTCCTGTGCCCACAGAGTCTGAGCCTACCCATTTCTGGCATGGATCGGAAAGTAAAGGCCCAGAAACGTAAGCCACCTCTGTCATGCTACACATCTGAGGCCAAAGCTCTTTGCCACCCAGTCTCCCATGGGGCCCAACAATTCAGCTTTTCTGCAGTGTTGCTTCGGGTGGAGCACAATGGATCACCTGTTCCCTCCTTGTCACAATGCACTTGAGCGCACAGAGCTCAGGTGAGCAAGTCGAGGAGGTCAGGCGCTCAGATGGTCGCGGCTGCATTTAGCATGAGGCGGAAGGTACGTGGTTTGCTTTACCATCTCTCCGAAGGGGAGCTTGGAAATCCTCTAAGTCTGGGTTTACCAGTAACGCATACAGCTTAATTCTCCTTATTAATCTGGAAGTTTAGAAGTTGTTAGTCTTGATTGACGCTCTGTGGAAAGGAGGGAAGCGCAGAACACTTGTAACATAATAAGAAGATGGAGGTTTTCCGGGCTGTGTCTCTGGAGAGGCGTTTTTAAGGAGTGTTTTTGCACTTCCAACCTTAGGATCAAAACTTCATGAAACTATTTGATTATAATGTAGTATTAACATGGATAATGAAAATTCCCCCTGCCACAGAAACTGCTTTTTATCTCATTCTTTTCCTGAAAAATCCAAAAGATAGTATGATGTCAGTAACATTAAGTGGCAGGAAGAAGTCGGCGTTAAAAGTGACACCTTTTCACATGAGTGACAATTAAAAAACTGGGAAGCAGCAGATTTATCTAATTGAACCATATGAAAAAGCTTTGGAAGATTTTTATTTTTAGGAGGGGGTGGTTGCTAAACCCAGGATGAAGTATTCAGCTGACAGTTTTAGTTCCTTTCTCTTTATGAAATTCATTAGAATGAAGCACATTTAATCAAAATACCAATTTTATAAAATGGAGGTAAAATACTCATGGTAATTCAGATAGCACACTTTCCTTGGGGTTTCAGAATAAAATTACACGACAGTTTACAGACCAGAGAGTTGGAGTGGAATCAACATCTTTTCACCCTTGAGAGCCATGGTTAAAAACTTCCCATTTTTGGGGTGCCTGGTTGACTCAGCCGGTTGAGTGTTGACTCTTGATGTCAGCTCAGATCATGCTCTCACGGTTTGTGAGATCGAGCCCCTCATCGGGCTGTGTGACAGTTCAGAGC